TGACCTCCTTGACAAAAATCATGAGCCCTATCAAAGTGAGTTCCTGCTCCCCTGAATATGTTTCTGATGCATGATGCTACATTAAGATATGAATGTTTCCATGACTCATTACACATTATGAACATGAAAACTTTGTCCTGTTGGGACGCTCAGCAGTTGAGTGTCTACCTTCGGCTCAGGGCGTGATCTCTGGGTGCTGGGATCAAGTTCCACATCCAGCTCCCTGCCTGGAGCCTGCTTCTCCCTCTGCCTAGGTCTCTGCCTCTCATGAATAAATAAAATCTTTAAAAACAAGAACAACAACAAAAAAATCTTTGTCCCGTTGGTCTTTCATGTATCATATATATCATATATGAATCACTTCACAGGTTATTTCTTGAAAAGAAGCCTTATCTATTTCATCTTTTTATTTCCATTCTAAAAATACTGAAAGCAGCTCACTGAACTTGCCCTCTGAGAAGGAAGGAATATTCGGAGAGGAAACATGGATATTGTGCTGTAGGTACTATAGTAAAGACTGAACACCAAAATACGACTCTTGCTCATTGCCCCTCACTCTCATTTTGTCTTTCCAGGCCCATGAGAGCACCTGCATCCTCTATTTTAGCTCCTTTTCCTAGTGGGAAATGGGACACGTGTGAAAACAACAGCCGGGCATTTTGGCCCATCGGAGCCAGGGAACAAAAAAGTTTGAACCGAGCAGGAAGCACTCTTGTCACCACGGACCCCAAGTGAACTCCATCGAGCTCGGACACTCACACTCGGAGGGCCCCAGGGCCACGAGCGTCCTCCCGGGCAGGCTGGAGGGGTCTGTGCGACCCCGTCCCTGTGCAGCATTTCCTAGGTTCGCCCAGGAAGCTGGGGGACGCCCTGCCCCAACGGGAATCTTCTGGAAAGGCTTCTGGGCCGGCCTGGGATGCCCATCTGGGTGAGGTACACGCGGACAAACCACTCCTTTCCCAAGTCCTCGGGAGGGAGACCAGGCAGGAAACCCGAGGGCTGAGCAGTGCGGCCCACTCAACGCCTGCAGGTCGCAGGGGCCAAGCAGGGGAGCTGACGAGGTCTCGGGGTGCCCGTTCCACCAGCACGCGGCTGCGGAGTAGTACAGGGCTTCCCGCACGGAGGGCCTCGGGACAGCGCTCACGGGGGACAGTGCCTGGGGAGCTGCCCCCCTCCGCCCTCCCCGCCCGGGGAGCTGCCCCCCCGCCCCCCCAGCCCCTGCCGCCCGGGGAGCTGCGCCCCCGCCCGGGGAGCTGCCCCCCTCCGCCCTCCCCGCCTGGGGAGCTGCCCCCCTCCGCCCCCGCGCCTGGGGAGCTGCTCCCCTCCGCCCCCCCCTACCTGGGGAGCTGCTCCCCTCCGCCCCCCCCCCTACCTGGGGAGCTGCCCCCCTCCGCCCCCCAGCCCCCGCCGCCTGGGGAGCTGCCCCCCTCCGCCCCCCGCGGAGCTGCTCCCCTCCGCCCCCCCCACCTGGGGAGCTGCCCCCCCCCGTCCCCCCCGCCCCCGCCGCCCGGGGAGCTGCCCCCCTCCGCCCCCCAGCCCCCGCCGCCTGGGGAGCTGCCCCCCTCCGCCCCCCCCACCTGGGGAGCTGCCCCCTCCACCCCCGCCGCCCCCCGCGGTCCGGCCCAGCTCGGGCGCTCCGCTGACCCCGCCGCCGCCGAGCCCACTCCGTAGGCCCTCCCACTTCGCATCCTCCGAGCTGCTCCTCTCACTCCCTCCCGGGCTCCGCTCCCCTCTCCCCGCCCACTCCGCCCGCAGACGAGCGCAGATGCCGGCTGCCTGCAGAGCTGCCCAGAGACCGCGGAGCCTCCCCGCCATCGCAGGTACGGCCGGGGGCGCCGGGGCGCGGACAGGGGAGCACGACGTGTCCGGGACCCGCGGGGGCGGCGGCGGGGAGGCCCGGGAGCCGCTGCGGGGGGGCGGGAGGCCGGGACGGGGCAGCCGCGGAGCCGGCGACGACGCGGGCCGGCAGAGCCCCGGGGGGCGGGGGGGCGCCGGGGAGGGGGCGCCGGGGCGCTGTGCGTGCGGGGCCGGGACCTCCGTCCCGAATGAGGACACGGGGAAGGCGGAACGCAGGCGGCCGAGCGTGCAGGCCTCGGAGCCGCTCCGAGCGGACGGACGCTGGTTCGGGCCCAGCGCGCGGCCTCGGGGCGTGTAAGGGCGAGGCGGAGCCCCACGCGGGCGGGACGGGCGGGGACCGGGCTGCGGAGGGCGGCCTGGAACCACAAACACCAACGCCCACCCGCCACCGCAGGGGGACCTTCGCGCCAACAGAAGTTCTGGCGCCAGGAAATTACGCGTCGGGGCGGAGCCGCCGGGGGCGGGGCCTGCAGCAGCCAGGGCCGCGGAGTGGGGCCGCGCCGGAGCCGCCGCGGTCGGCGTGGGGCGGGGCCAGAGCGCGGCGCGGTCGGCGTGGGGCGGGGCCAGTGCGCCGGCGCGGTCGGCGTGGGGCGGGGCCAGAGCGCGGCGCAGTCGGGGTGGGGCGGGGCCAGTGCGCCGGCGCGGTCGGCGTGGGGCGGGGCCAGAGCGCGGCGCGGTCGGGGTGGGGCGGGGCCAGTGCGCCGGCGCGGTCGGCGTGGGGCGGGGCCAGAGCGCGGCGCGGTCGGGGTGGGGCGGGGCCAGTGCGCCGGCGCTTTCAGGGTGGGGCGGAGGGCGGGGCCAGAGGGGCGGTGCGGCCGCCTTGAGGCGGAGCCAGGACGCGGCGTAGTCGGCGTGGGGCGGGGCCAGAGCGGGAGCGCGCTCGGCGTGGGGCGGAGCCAGAGCGCGGCGCAGTCGGGTGGGGCGGGGCCAGAGCGGGAGCGCGCTCGGCGTGGGGTGGAGTTGGGCCAGTGCGCGGGCGCGGTCAGGCCGGGGCGTGGCCAGTGCAGCCAGCGTGGGGCGCGGTCTGGGGCGCGGTCTGGGGCGGGGGGAGAGTGAGCAGAAGCCGGGGATAGGCCGTCAGCAGAGGGGCGGGGCGTGAGGAGGGGAACTCGGAGTCCTGACGGGATGTCGGCGGAGGGGCGGGGCCCGGGGAGGCGACCTCGGAGGGGGACTGGGATGTCAGCGGGGGGGGGTCTGGGGGGCGGGGGGCGGGGCCGGGACGTCGGCGGAGGGGCGGGGCCGGGCCTAGTGCGCGCGCAGCCGCGCCGGGACGTCGGCGGAGGGGCAGGGCGGGGCCGGGGCGCGGCCGGCGTGCGGCCGGCGTGGGGCGGGGCCGGGCCGGGGCGAGTGCGTGCGCCGCCGGGCCGGCCGGGACGACGGCCGAGGGGCGGGGCCGGGGCCGGGGCCGGGGCCGGGGCCGGGGCGCGGCCGGCGTGGGGCGGGGCGTGGGCAGAGTGCGGACGGAGGCAGGAAGAGGCGGCCGCAGACTTTCCGGGTCGGCCCCTCGGTGTGTCCCGCGTCGGCCGGCTGGCGGCTCGCGTCGGTCCGCCGGGGCTGGGCGTCCAGGGGCGCCGGCTGCTGCCGCCTGCCAGCGGGGGGCTGCGCCGGGCAGTTCCAGGTGAGACGTGGAGCCCCGAGGCCTCCCGCGCGCGCGCGCGCGCCGAGGTCCCCCCGCCGGGGATCCGGCCGCGTCGGGCCGGCGGGGTCAGCGGGGTCGGCCGGGGCTTGGGCACCGCACCGGTCGGGTCAGGTCGCGAAGTCTCGGGTTGTTGCAAGTTGGCGCGTGGCGCGGCCGCGGCCGGGGCGGTCGGAGGAGTGCGCGGTGTTCCAGTCAGTGGTTTGGTTTTGTTTCCTAGTGTCTCTTGTCGAGTTAGGGCGATGGGGCTTGCAGAGCGGATCCGGTTTGGGAAACGTGTGGATTTGGGTTTTAGTTCATGGAAAATCAATTTTTCGGTCCCCGGGGACACGCGATACGGGTGTTCATTGTTTCCCGTCGTTGACCTTAAAAGTAAGACCAGTGCAGCGGATGAGCTAACTGGGCTCTGTGGACGGAGGCGAGTGTGGCCCGGGACGGCGGGCGAGCAGGGGAACAAAGGACAGGCGTGTTTTTTAAGGAGAAAAGGGGTAAGTTGGGAAGGGTTCTGTGAACTTCCAGTCCATTGGAGGAAACGGGGCGTGTGAAGTGTGCCGGCGCCTCATTGGCGGGGCTGCGGGCCCGGAGCGGGGGTGGGGGTGGTTGGGAGAGGGACCTGCGGTGCCCCGGGGGCGCGGGGCGCCTGCTCCCTGCCGGGGCCCGGGGCGGGGGAAGGGGAGGCTGCCCGGGCCGCGGGGCCGGCTCCCGCCCACGTGGGGGCCTGGCTGGGACCTTGTTCGCACCCTGAGCGTGAGAAACAATAACCAGGTTGGGCATTCAAATTTTAGGAGCTTCGTCTATGCCCTTAATAAAGTTTTTTGCATGAAGACGTAAGTTCACATTTTCTTTTCTGTTTCCTTTGGAAAGTGTGACGTTTATGCCGGTTGGAATTTGTCAACACCCAGAACTGCGACTGTTGATGCCAAGCCAAGGAGATACCCTTCTGGCTTTCTCAGAATTTTTAAGTTATTTTTATTTAAGATTTTATTTACTTATTCACGAGAGACCCTGGCAGAGGGAGAAGCAGGCTCCAAGCCGAGAGCGAGAGCCCGACGTGGGACTCGATCGCGGGTCTCTAGGATCACGCCCCGCCCAAAGGCAGGCGCTAAACTGCTGAGCCACCCGGGCCGCCCTCAAAATTTCTGAGTCAATTTAATGTTAACGTTTGAACTGAGATCAATTGAGAATGTGGAAGATACTTGTTAGGCAGTGGAACGGTCACCACTCGAGGGCCTGTGCAGAAGGGAGCGGGTGCATCTATCTCCCAGTCTCCAGATCTTCCTCGGCTCTCAGACCTGCAGGGACGGGGACTCCCACGGAGGAGCCAGGACTCACACCGCTGGTGGTCAGGTGGTCCTGACGTTTGCAGTCTCCGTTTTACTTTTTCTTCATCCTGTCTCTGCTTACACAGCAGTGACGTGATAGAAGTCTGTGTAACCCATCCAGCCACTTCCTCCACTTTGAGTTTTTTTTTTTTTTAATAAGGCTTTGATTTTTTTTTTAATTTCTATTTACGATAGTCACACACAGAGAGAGAGAGAGAGGCAGAGACACAGGCAGAGGGAGAAGCAGGCTCCATGCAGGGAGCCCGACGTGGGACTCGGATTCCCCAGGATCACCGCCTGGGCCAAAGGTGGTCCTAAACCTCTGAGCCACCCAGGCTGCCCCTCCACTTTGAGTTTTATAGAGAATATGGACAGGGGAGGGATCCCTGAGTGGCTCAGCGGGTTTAGCACCTGCCTTCGGCCTGGGGCATGATCCTGGAGTCCCGGGATCGAGTCTCACGTCAGGCTCCCTGCATGGAGCGTGCTCCTCCCTCTGCCTGTCTCTGCCTCTTTTGCTCTCTCTCTGTGTCTCTCGTGAATAAATAAATACAATCTTTAAAAAAAACTTTAAAAAAAAAAGAATATGAACAGGGGAGTCTCCATCACATGGAGTGAGACCTCTTGGGTCTGTATTGGGTGCCTATCTCCCTGTGACAAACTGAGCCCATAAGGTGGGTGTCTGAGTAAACTACACTCTGTGTATCGTGTCCCTGAGTCTGTTTCCTTGGATCCCTTTTTCAAGAGAAAATCCATTCCTACATAAGCAGTGTTTGTTATATAGAAATTACTCTTTGAGGTTATAAATTACTTCATATAATCATGGGAATTTGCCTTATGCATGGGCTTTCTCGTGGGTGTCAACAGGGGACAGTGTAGGGACTTGTTATTCTCTTACTGTTTTCTGAAATGAACACTGCTTATGTTCTATCAGATAAACACCCAGTTTCCCTGGACTGCTAACTTTAAGGACAGAAGGAACCAACAGTAGGAAGCCAATTGTCTCACACTCAATTTAAATATCTTTAATTTTTTTCCTTTAATAACTGAGAGGGGTAAATATAAGGAGCCCAGTCTCAGCAGTTTTATCTTAACACTTCCATCCATTTTCCTTTCATAATGAAACTTCCCTATGGTCTTTTGTTTGCCAAAAAATACACAAACGGATTTTAATACTTGTTTGCCAGAGCTGAACAATGAACAAAAATGAGATTTAATAAATATTAAAACCTGGGTGGTTAATTGTCACCAGAGGGATGTTAACTGGGACTTTCACTGCTGCAGTACACAGACCACCTGCTAATTCCTGACAGGCTTGCCTCACCCCAGGGCATTTGCACTGGTCTCCCCAGGCCTCTTCATGAATATCTGCCAGCAGCACTTTTCAGTCTACACAAATGTTGCTTTATTAGCCCTGCATTCTATGAACACTTTTTAAAGAAATTTTTATTATTTATTTATTTTTTATTTAAAGATTTTTATTTATCCATTCATAAGAGACAAAGGGATAGAGACATAGGCAGACAGAGAAGCAGGCTCCCTGTGGGGAGCCCCAGGTGGGATGTGGTACTCTAGGATCATGCTCTGAGCCAAAGGCAGACTCTCAACCGCTGAGCCACCCAGCCATCCCTCCGAACACGTTTTTAAAACACTTTTTCTTCCCTAACAACAAATATTTATTCAGCTCTTTGTATTTACAATTGTGCCTACAATTTATTTTTTAAATTTATATTTTTAAAGATTTTACTTATTTATTCATGAGAGACAGATTGAGAGAGAGGCAGAGACACAGGCAGAGGGAGAAGCAGGCTCCATGCACCGGGAGCCCGACGTGGGACTCGATACCGGGTCTCCAGGGTCCTGCGTTGCGCTGAAAGCAGCGCTAAACCACTAAGCCACCCAGGCTGCCCTGTGCCTACAATTTAAGGGGGGGGAGCTTCTGTCTTTGGATTTTTTTTTTTCCTATAGAGATCCTTGTAAGCATTTATTCCTATAATAATTACCCAAGTTCTGGGCCTTTTTTTTTTTTTTTTTAAGATTCTATTTATTTATTCATGAGAGACAAAGAGGGAGGCAGAGACACAAGCAGAGGGAGAAGCAGGCTCCATGCAGGGAGCCCGATGCTGGACTCGATCCCAGAACTCCAGGATCACACCGTGAGCCAGATGCAGATGCTCAACTGCTGAGCCACCCAGGCCTCCCAAGTTCTGGGTCTTGAATCCATATGTCTGTGGCCTATTGCCCCTGCCATTCTACAGAGTGGATGCCATATTAGCAGGCATGAAAACAACATTCATCTCATTGTCCCATCTCTGTCAGAGCTCTTGGGTGACCAGGCACATTGTCAAGGATTAGTAATATTTTGAAATGAATCTTCTTTTGAACAAAAGGTCTCAACACTGAGCTTAAAATATTCAGTAAACCATGTCGTAGGCAGATGTACTGTCACCCAGACTGTATTGTTCCATTTATATGTAGGGCGCAGGCAGAGTAGATTTAGCATTCTTCTGAAAGGCCCTAGGATTTTCAGAATGGTAGGTGGGCATTGGCTTCCACTTAAGAGTCACCAGCTGCATTAGCTCCTAACAGGAGAGTCAGCCTGTCCTTTGAAGCTTTGAAGGTAAGCATTGGTGTATCTGAAAGTCCTAGATGGCATCTTTTTTGTTTGGTCTACACTAATGATCTGTTAGTTGAGTGTAGCTACCTTCCTGAATTCTCTGAGCTAGATCTTCTGGAGGACCTGCTGCAGCTTCTCCATCAGCATCTGCTGCTTCACCTTGTGCTTTCATTTTTTTTTTTTTTTAAGATTTTATTTATTCATGAAAGACAGAGAGAGAGAGGCAGAGACACAGGCAGAGGAAGAAGCAGGCTCCCATGCAGGAAGAGCCTGACATGGGACTCGATCCTGGGTCTTCAGGTTCAGGCCCTGGGCTGAAGGCAGTGCTAAACCACTGTGCCACCAAGGCTGCCCTACCTTGTGCTTTCATGTGATGGAGGTGGCTTCTTTCCTCAGTCCTCACCAGTCACCCTCTGCTGGCTTCAGACTTTTCTTCTATAGCCTCCTCACCTCTGTCAGCCTTCACAGAACTGAATTCAGATGGGACTTTGCTCTGGGTGAGGTTTTGACTTGGGGAATGTTGCGTTCCATCCAGACTCTTCAGACTTTCTCCATATCAACGATAAATCTGTTTCCCTTTCTTAGCATCCACCTGTTCACTGGACTAGCGCTTCTAATTTCCTTTAAAAACTCTTCCTTTGAATTCATAGCCTGGCCAGCTGTTTGGCACAAGAGGCCTAGCTTTTAGCCTACCTTTTGATATATCTTCTCTACTATTTTTTTAAAAATATTTTATTTATTTATTCAGAGAGAGAGAGAGAGGCAGAGATCCAGGCAGAGGGAGAAGCAGGCTGAGGGAGAAGCAGGCTCCATGCAGGGAGCCCAATGTGGGACTCGATCCCCTGGTCTGCAGGATCACACCCTGGGCTGCAGGCGGCGCTAAACTACTGTGCCACTGGGGCTGCCCTTCTCCACTAAATTTAATCATTTCTAGCTTTTGCTTTAAAGTGAGACACATAGGACTCTTCACTTGAACACTTAAGAGGCCAGTGTAGGGTTATTAATTAGCCTGATGTCAATATTGTTGTGTCTCCTGGAATAGAGGCCCAAGGAGAGGGCAAGAGACGGGAGATCAGCAGGTAGTGGAGTGGTCAGAACACATTTATTGGTCAAGTTAGCCATCTTATATGAGCACAGCTCATGGCACCCCAAAACAATGGCAGTAGTAACATCAAAGATCATGATAACAAATGTAATAATAACAAAAACATTTGAAATATTGTGAGAATTACCAGCATGTGACACACAGATGACAAAGTGAGTTAATGGTATTGGAAAATGGCAGCTGTCAACATGGCACTGCCACACACCTATGTAAAAATACTGTGTGCAAAGTGCATTAAGTAGAGGTGTGCCTGTAGTTAGGACCTGGAGGGGAAGGAGTTCTCTGTCCTTCCAGGCCAGGGACATTGCCCTCAGTATGCCCTCCTGCTCATCTCCAGGCAGATGAAACTTATATGCAGACTCTTCTCTTCTTCCATTAGCCCTGGGCAAAGAGAAAGCCCATCCAACACAGATGTCTTCAGGTCAGATTGATTGAAATCCTAATGACTAATACTTGACATGCATCAAAATAACTACACGTTCCAAGTGTAAATTATACTGTTAGTGTTATTTTTCCCATAAATAGAATGTTTCAAGTATCATTTAATAATACAAAAATGTTTATAAGTCTCAGGACCTATCTCAATAAATAAAAGAACAAATTACTTCTGAAGAAAATGATCAGGCAGTGTTTTCATTATAGGCAGAAGCAGTTGATTCCAGAAAGAAGTTTGTCTTTTTTTTTTTCCAGTGTATTTATATCGAATATAAAAGCAAGCCTATAATAACTCAACTGTGAGTATTGCTTTTATAGCAAGCATTTAAGGTAATGGAGGACTACTCAGTTTCCATGGTTCTCTCATATCCTCCTGTCTTGGCCAGCCTGCTCACTCTGCAGTGAGGCAACAGTGACCTCTCTTCGTCAGAGAGGCGTGTGTGCTGTGGGAGACTCTGAACAAGGCTTGTGCCAGACACAGACATAGTTATGCTAGAGGAAAAAAAAAGGATAAATTGTCAAGCTCTGTGTTGTTTAAAGGCTAACTTAGCAGATACAATTTAAAGAAATTAAAAAGAAAAACCTGTGTATATAATCCTAAAGGATATCCATCCTATTCTTTAGGAGAACTCTTGTGTAAAATACAGATATTTTAGTTAATTTTTTGAAAATTTATTTGAGCAAAGTCTTAATATATACTCATGGAGGGATGCTTGGGTGGCTCAGCGGTTGAGTGCCTCCCTTAAGCCCAGGGTGTGATCCTGGAGCCCTGGGATGGAGTCCCACATCAGGCTCCCTGTATGGAGCCTGCTTCTCCCTCTCTCTCTGTGTCTCTCATGAATACATAAATAAAATCCCCCCCCCACCCAAAAAAAGAATACATACCCATGAAGATATGAATAAGTTTGGAGATTTTTTTTCCCCCCTGGTAACAACTTGTGTAAATTGCTGAGACAAGCAAAATCTTCTGTGGCCCAGGAGCTGGGAGCAGAGCACAGTCAGGTAAGCCACATGGACGAGCTAGGGCAGCATCTAGAGGATTTCAGGGCCTGAAGATTGTGGCAGGTCTCAAGGTCCTACTTCAAGGTCACTGAGAAAGCATGGAAGAAATTAGAGCTGGAGAGTGTTGGAATCAATTTGTATTTGTAAGTGAAATCAGTCCCACCCAGCCCCACTGGGGATGGGAGAGGTTGCTGCAGGTAGAGCTCTGTAAACTCTTCAACCAGTTTTAGAAGGTCATGCACCCCACCTCCAAGGGGACCCTACTGGACCTTACCCCACGTATCTCTTCATCTGACTGTTCATTTTTGTCCTTTTTTTTTTTTTTAAGATTTTATTTATTTATTCATGAGAGACACAGAGAGAGAGAAAGAGGCAGAGACGTAGGCAGAGGGAGAAGCAGGCTCAACGCAGGAAGCCCAATGCAGGGCTCGGTCCTATGTCCCCAGGATCACACTCTGACCCAAAGGCAGACGCTTAACTACTGAGCTACCCAGGCGTCCCCATTTTTGTCCTTTATACTGAACTAGTAAACCTAAGGAAAGCTTTTCCTAAATTCTGTGAGCCATTCTAGAAAATTACCAAACCTAATGTGAGGGGTTATGGGAAGCCCTGGACTTGCAGTGTGCTCAGCAGAGGTGTGAGTAGCTGGGGCATTACCTTTGTGGCTGGCCTCTGAAATAGAGGAAAGCTTGTGGGATCTGATGCTGACTCCAGGAAGACACTATCAGAGTTGGATGCAACGCTAAGGACACCCAGTTGCTGTCAGAGAATTAGTTACTGGTGTGAAAGAAAAAGGACTACTTATTCGAATTTTGGATTTTGAGAACTGACTGCTGTCTGTTACAGGGTATTGATCATTAAATGGGTGGAAGAAATGGATGTATTAGGGAGATAAGGCAAAACTAACAAAAGAGGATCTTTGTTACCTGATTTTTTTTAAGGTTTTATTTATTTATTTGAGAGAGAAAGAGAACATGAGTGCAGAGGTGGGGCAGAGGGAGAAGCAGGCTCCCTGCTGAGCAAGGAGTCTGATGTGGGGCTTGATTCCAGGACCCCAGGGTCATGACCTGAAACAGAGGCAGACACTTCACCGATGTAGCCACCCAGGCACCCCTGACCTCAGATATCTTTGAGTATAAGCCATATAACCAAGCATTAGGACAATTGGGACACAACTGCATTTTCTTGTCCTAGATACATGGGAAAAGGAATAAATGGGGATTGGAATGGACAGTAACAGTGATGGCATTGGGGGTGGAAGACTGCATGTGGACTCAGCCGTGGGAGGAGTGACTCTGGTGGGAGGAGTGACTCTGAACTCAGGCTGAGAGGAGGGAAGGCAGGTATTGCTAGATGGTCTATGTGCCTTGATGTGACAGGGGCACTCCTGTTCTACCTAGGAGTCGTTTATACCCCTGAAGAGGACCATGTTTACAGATCGGAGCTTGGGAAGCAGACCAAAAGTCAAGCACTAGCTGTGTAATTCTTTAGCCATGTAATTTCATCATATTACTGAAGCTTTCTGAAACTGCATTTAATGCCATTTGTTAAATAAGTAAATGTTTTAGTTATCCTAGGCTTCTGTAACGAAACACCACAGACTTACTTGGTGGCTTAGACAACACATTAAATTTTCATAGTTCTGAATCCTGGAAAGTCCCCAGACCTAGGTGTCAGCAGATGGAAGACTTGGGGATGGGCCATTTCTGGGCTTGCAGAAGCCTGGCCCTCAGTGCCAGTGTGGCAGAGAGAGAACTGTGCTCGGTTGCCCTGATAGTGACACCAGTTTCTTCATAGGAGCCCTGCTCCATGACCTCATCTAAACCAAATTAGCTCCCAAAGGCCTCACCTCCACCTACCATCATCCTGAGAATTAGGGCTTTGACAGATGGATTTGCTTGGGGCTGGAGGGGACAAGGGGGTTTAGTCCATAACAGTAAATATACCAAAATGAGCAGGGTCTAAGTATTAAGTAAGTGAATGTGCTTAAATTTCCAAGCAGAGAGTCCTATTTCTTAAACTTTAATTTTGTCTTACTAATTTCCTGGACTCTAGGTATAAAGAGGGGAGTTAAATCTACTTTTGTTTGTGATATAATGTCATTTTTCCATTCTTATACAATTAAGTACTAGCAAATTTGGTAAGAATTTAAGTTTGCCAAACTTTATTTTTTTTTTAAAGATTTTACCCACTTATTCATAGACACACAGAGAGAGAGGCAGAGACAGAGGCAGAGGGAGAAGCAGGCTCCATGCAAGGAGCTCAATGTGGGACTCGATCCGGGGTCTCCAGGATCACACCCCAGGCTGCAGGCGGCGCCAAACCGCTGCGCCACCAGGGCTGCCCTTTTTTTATTTTTTAAGAAGTTTTACTTATTTATTCATGAGAGACAGAGAGAGGCAGAGACATAGGTAGAGGGAGAAGCAGGCTCCCCATGGGGAGCCCCATGCAGGACTCGATCCTAGGACCCCCGCTGGATCACAACCTGAGCCAAAGGCAGATGCTCAACCACTGACCCACCAGGTGCCCCCCAAGAAACTGTTTTAAAGAGACTAAATCACTTGTCCAGGGTCCCCCTGTAGTAAATGACAGTGACCGTCTGTGAAGAACCCAAACGTGTCTGCCTCCTGAGGGTGCCGATGGGCCAGGGCTTCATTAGCAAACAGATGGCCTTCCAAGTGGGTGACCTGCAGTGAAATTAATAAAGGGACTATTTTATCCCAGGACCCCAGGATCATGCCCTGAGCCAAAGGCAGACGCTTAACCGCTGAGCCACACAGGCATCCTTATTTATTTTAAAGATTATTTTTTTTTGAAAGAGAGCGCAGATGGAGGTGGGTGAGGAAGAGGAAAAGAGAGAAGCAGACTCTGCTGAACCCCACGCAGGGCTGGACGCAGGAGATCATGACTTGAGCCAAAATCAGAAACTTCACGGACTGAGCCACCCAGGCACCCCGATAAAGTTTACCAGAACTTTAAAATACAGATTTATGAAATTCTGGGGTGTTGTTTGTGCTGATGATTAATGTAGGATGGTATTCCAGTTATAACTTTACTAAATGTTAGATTGAACAAATATATTTCCCTGTAAGTCCCCTGCATTCTACATTTTCTTTTTTTTTTTTAATTTTTATTTTTATTTTATTTTTTATTTTATGATAGTCACAGAGAGAGAGAGAGAGAGAGGCAGAGACATAGGCAGAGAGAGAAGCAGGCTCCATGCACCGGGAGCCCGATGTGGGATTCGATCCCGGGTCTCCAGGATCGCGCCCTGGGCCAAAGGCAGACGCCAAACCGCTGCGCCACCCAGGGATCCCAACATTCTACATTTTCTAAGCAGGGACTTTTAGGTTTGCAGTTCAGGGAAGGAATTAAATAACCCTACAAAAAAGTTTCTGGGTAACTTATAAATTGAATGATTTTCATTTCCTGTGTGAAAATAGAAGGGAATGTTCATATTTTATTTACTAGCATTGGTAGTCAAAGCCTTCTCACTTGAGATCCACGCTGATGTGAGAGTTCTCCCACTTGTCTGAGGGCCATGGCGTGTTCCTGAAAGGGGGTTGGGGGGTTGCATGCAGGTGCATTGGGGTTTTGTGGTCAGGGTCTCTGGTAAGACTGGAGTCTCTTGGCTTCTCTCTCCTTGCCCAGCTTTTCCTCCTTACTTCTTGGACTGTCCGTGAGTGGGGAGATCCAGAGGAGGTGAGGTGGTGGCTGAATTCCTGAGAATGCAACTGCAGGTGAGTAGAGATGTGATCTTTCTGTGGATATAATACCTCTGTTGCCAGTGGACGGGAAGGCTTCTCTTGGCCTGAGACTTCTCCGTGTATCCAGGCAGTGTTAGGATCTGGGCTCTACTTAATTCTCAGGACTCAGGGATACTTCTGTGTAGTCCAGGATTGATCAGGAAATCATCTCCCTTCCAACAGTGACACTAATATATCTCATTCTCTATTAAGAGTGTCCTTGCAGAAAAGAAATTTGCATAGGTTTTTCTCTCCATTGTATAGACTTAGTTGAGAAATGGTTTACTCATTCATCCTCGTTGCACATAGGCATGTGGTGGTGGGGTGACAGATGAGCAGGGGCAGGGGTTTACGGGCCGCCCATGAGGGGACAGCTGTACCTGCAGGGGAGCTGTGCCGTGTCCCAGAGAACTTGAGAAACATCTGCAAAAGAGAAGATAGAAGAAATCATAATTTCCTCTCAATACTTACTGAAGTTTTAATAATACATACTTGAATTAGTTTGGAAACTAACGGAGATGACTATAATCCTCTCTACTATCTTATCCCTCTTATCTATGTTCCCTCTTTGTGATTAAACTTTGTTAAAAATAGAAAACCAAGAACAGTGCCCAGGGAGTAATTTTTTTTTAAAGTTTATTTATTTATTCATGAGAGACACTGAGAGAGGCAGGCAGAGACATAAGCAGAGGGGGAAGCAGGCTCCATGTTAGGGAGCCCGATGTGGGACTTGATCCCGGGACTGCGGGACCATGCCCTGAGCTGAAGGCAGACGCTCAACCGCTGAGCCACCCAGGCGTCCATAATTTTTAAAAATTAACTGCGCGTTTGGCAGAATGTGTGTAGAAATTGTGGTAAAATTTAGAATCCTGAAACGATTTTTGTAGGACCAAGAGAGGTCAGAACTAATCAGAGGATTTTATTGCCTTTGAATAGAAAAACAGGATTAACATCCAGAGAACTGCTACCACGAGAATTGGTGTTAAGAATGGAGAGCTCGCTGCCAGAGGGATCACTCTGGGGCTGTCCTTCAGAAGAGCCATCTCAGGAGTCCCACGCTCTCCTGCAGGACCTGTCTGCCTTCATTGACTCTAAAGAACAAGTGAGTTCTGTAAGATGACAGATCCTCACCCTGCTGACCACAGGTTCTGTGTCATTGTTGTCATCCTGGAGAGTACTGGGCATTGCTTCATGATTCTCTTCCTCTTAATATGAACGGACCTATCACGAGTAGGGGTTCAGTGTTTGCTGTAAAAGAAGTGTCTGCACATTAGTTCCTTGGAAATCTCAACATCACTATTGATAAATTTTTTAAGTTGTTTTTTTCCCCATTAACTTCTACAAATGTGGGGCTCAAACTCCTGACCCTGAGATCAGGAGTCACATGCTCTTCCAACTGAGCCAGCTAGGTGCCCATTGCTACTGTTTAATCTAGGTTATAATCACTAACCACTAACCAGGAATTCAAAATTCCCAGTTTATTGGGAAATTGCCAGGTTCTTTCACGTTGAGATTCCTGTATAATGAAGTAATTGTGTGCTTACTGTGTATTTCTTTTTGAATGTGTCTCTGAAAGACACAGGGCAGACCAGCATGGGAGTTTGAACCACAAATGGAGTTTGAACTTTCTATACATAGCTCCCCCTTTGGCATAATGACTATCATGGTGACAGTTCTCCCCCAGGGATTACTAAATATGGCCCTGTTGAAACACAGTATCTGTGATATTTTAGGACTCTGTGACCTTCAAAGATGTAGCTGTAGACTTAACCCAGGAAGAGTGGACCCTGATGGATAGGTCCCAGAGAAAGCTGTACATTGATGTAATGCTGGAGAATATCACTCATCTGGTCTCCGTAGGTGAGTCTGTCACCGTGTCTGTTTCTTAGTTTAGCAACCCTGTGTCCAGGACAGCTTCCCTACATTCCAACGGCTCTCTACTCTAACTTGTTCTTCTGTAGCACCTCTGACTAGATGGAATATGTCATTTTCTTCATTTTCATCCAGTATGTTTTTTTTTTTTAATTCATCAAGTATGTTAATAATATGAATTTAGGCTTCTTGGCTATAATTGTGTATCTTTCTACTGTACTTTATCCAAGACCCAGAACAGTCTTGGGAATACAATGAATATTTTTTGAATGAATAAATATCTGAAATATTTTCTGCTCTGGGAATTATGGTGAAGCTTGAGCACAGGAGAAAATCTAACATCTTGTATCACCTTCCATGTAAAACTACAGAATATTCTCGTGGAAATTATGTTTATTGTATTCCTTTGGAAATACTGTTAACCCCCTTATGAGGACGTTTCCTTCTGGATGCACACTCCGAGCCTTCTGCTGCCTTCTGGCTTGGGTGGGAGTATGAGCTGCCAGAGGTCTTTGCTGATGTGACCTGACTGATGCTTCCACAGCACTTGTACGTGCTCCTGGTGTTTGTCCACAGTAGCTTGTACTGTTGAATGCTATGCACTGTTCTCCGTGCAGAAGTACAAACTCACGTACTGTTCTCCCACTGATTCAGGCTGTCAGTTCTTCCAGTCAGATATGATTGCCCAGTGGGAGCAAGGAGGGGAGCTGTGGAAGGAAGAGAGAGGACTGGCCCAAGGCTGGGGTCCAGGTGAGCTTTGGACACTCGGTGCTCAGTGCAAGATGGCTCGTGAATGTGTGAGTGGGATCTCATGGATGTCAGTGCACGGGTCCCTGAGTGAGTGGTAGCTTCAGAAAACCGAGTGGCCAGTGGGACTGCATTCCTCAGATTGTGTCATTATGTGTCACATGTCAGTTTCTCTTCATGTATCTGCACTTATATTTGACTTCAGGGAAGCAATGATCCTGTCCTTAATGGAAGTAAAATTTCACATTGTGGTCTTTGTCATGATTTCTGGTCTCTCTTTTTCTAATGCTTTATATTCATATTCTCTACAATAGCCCATCATTTAAATTAAACATTGATTTTTTTTCTCTAATTGATATTATTCTAAAATGTATGTCTATTCACCAGTATATTCCTCATTGGACATTATTTGGTCATGTAGTGGTCAGTGTTTGGAACACATTTATATGGGTCTTGTATGCTTTTTAACACTTTAATTCCCCTAACCTATTTAAGATATTTCTTAGTTTTATTTATTATCTTCAGTTATTTCAGGCTTGGAAAACAGCTATCAAAAACAAGAAATAATATCTATGGAAGACATCTGCAGGGAGGATGCATCTAACTACAAGACAATAATAGTAAGTTTCACAAGGACACGCCTCTCCTATCTATATGTTAAAGGCTTGGGGGTGAGATAAGTTAACAATTCAGAATAGTTACATATTGTCATAGAATGTGGTTTCAAATTTAAATCTGGGGACAAAATTAGCTTGGATTTGAACTTCCACTGGCTCTGCTAAAAGAATAATTGTATAACTTTGGTTTATTTGCATTCACGATATCTTTAAAATACTTAGCTCTCTGATAAAGATGCTGCCAAGGTGTTCTAAACAAAAGATTCATGGCAGCCTGTTTCAAAGGGAAAAAAACACTTCCTTGATACTATAAAAATCTGATAGAAACAGAAAGAAGAGAGGGGAAATCTGTGCATAGACAAGGGCAGTAGTGAGCAGTAAAGGAGAATAGGACAGAGTTCGGTCAGATGGGGTGCTTACAGCATCTAACCCCATGAGCTGGGGCAGCCCCCTGCACACACCTGGGCTGGAGTCTCCATGGAGAGGCCTGGGTGGAGCATCCTCCTCCTCAGGTGAGACTTTACCCCTGACCATCCCCACTGTGGCCATATTTATGGGCCAGTGATGGGGTCTGAGGTTAAACATGTGTTCCTGCAGTGCTTAGTGAGCTGCATTTCTGTGTTGTCATGTCTTCACATCTTCAAGAAGCCCATTGCCTCCCCTCCTGGATTCCATTCTGGGCGTCCAGACCAGAAGGACCAGTTCTGACCGGGTGGCCAGCTGATGGCCACTAAGCAGGTCCCCGAGGTCACTTATGTAGCATGAGTTTCACACATAACATGCTTTAGCCTGCCTGTGTCCATGGAGTTCGGGATGGTGGGTTATGCAGGACACATCACAGAAACCTCCGCTGATATGATCCATTTGTTCTTTGAGTTGTCATGCATAATAAGACACCAAATGTACCCACAAGGCACTTTTTACACATCTGCAAATCCAACAACGTATTATAAGTACGATGAAGTTCATTATAAGTAAAGCATCCTTTAGATCCCTCCCTAATGGGGTAACTAGTCAAAATAAACTATGGGAAGTATTGATCTGATTAATTCACGGTTGGTAGTGAAAATTGGCATTGTCACAAGCAGAGATTCCTTTTTTTTTTAAGCATTTTTATTTTTTAAGATTTTATTTATTTACTCATGAGAGACACCGAGAGAGAGAGGCAGAGACACAGGCAGAGGGAGAAACGGGCTCCGTGCAGGGAGCCTGACATGGGACTTGATCCTGGGTCTCCAGGATCACGCCCTGGGCTGAAGGCGGCGCTAAACTGCTAAGCTACCTGGGCTGCCCGCAAGCAGAAATTCTTGTTTAAAACTGACATCAATGGGAGTTTGTTTTCTCAGTTTTACACACATGTTCACTGTCATCATTCAAGGTGATGGCCATTAATCCTACAGTGAAATTACAGTTACCTCGACGAATTTGGTCATTGTGGTTATGAAAATGTCTGATACGTGTTTTGGAAGTATAAATCTCATGTTCATCATGATACCAGCATATTGGTACTACATGTAAAGAACAATTGGTCCAATAGGACAGGATCAGTGGTTGTCCTGCTTCAGTAGAGAAGCCTCGGGTTGAGTCTTCAGGGTCCAAGGGATAGTGTGTCCAGGCAATGGGAAAGCATGGGATCCAAATTTACATCCATGAGTCACAGAGGGAAACCCATTAAAGGAATACAATACTGTTATTGTAGCATCTCCTCCTTGAACAGTTACCTTAGCGGGAGAGGGGATGTAGTTATGTGGCTTTGTAAGGTCGTCAAGCACGTGAATGAATATTCTAGCATATTAATGGTGCTGGAAGGGTTTTGCATATTGCTTACTTGGAAATTAAGGGTCTTCATCTACCCTAATGGAGTTTCATTTTGACCAATATGTCTCTTGTGTAACATTTTAGCCTCAGTTAAATAACTTCCATTTTGATGAAGAGACATCTTCTAATTTTTTAAATTGTTATATAAGCAGTCCATTTATCTGTTTGATCAATTCAGCCACCTGGGGTCAATAGGGAATATGATAAGTCCATTCAGTATTAGAGGAGGCAGCAAAAGCTTTTTTTTTTTTTTTTTTTTTTTAAAGCTTTTAAACTACCTATCAAGTGGGAGCTATTATCATTCTGGATCTGAATATGGACATCATAATATAATAGTCTCTAAGATTTTGATAGTATTTTGTTGGGGGATGTGGGGCGAATGGGCAAGCTATTAAATACCCGGAAAAGTGTTCACTGCCATACAGATATATTGACAACCTCGGAAGGGGGTACTGGCCCCATATGATCTATTTGCCAAATTTGGACAGGGAGTCTTCCTTTCTGTATCTGTCCTTTTTACTGTTGTGGAAAATTTTTTTTTTCTTTTTAAAGATTTTATTTCATGAGACACAGAGAGAGGCAGAGACATAGGCAGAGGGAGAAGCAGGCTCCATGCAGGAAGTCCAATGTGGGACTAGATCCCAGGACCCTGGGGTCATGCCCTGAGCCAAAGGCAGATGCTCAACTGCTGAGCCACCCAGGCATCCATCCCACCGTTGCGGAATTTCTTGCTTGGCCAAATCTGACAAGTTGGATGTTTTACTATGGTTTCTTTTATGGCATCCCGAGTGATGAGTATGCCAGAGTCCTGGACCCACCTGTAAATAGCCTGCTTTACCCAAGTGTCTGCTTTTCTCCTGCGTCCATTGTGCCAGTCTGGTGTCAGTCACAGGTTCAATTCTATTTGCTGTGATTTGGGCTAGTGGGTCAGCTGCTTTGATGGAGATCTGCTCTGTGGAGGTGAGCACACTGAGGATCTACGTGGAAAACCGTAATTTTATTTATTTATTTATTTTGAAAACAGTAATTTTAGTATTTGGGGTCCATTGCCAGATATCTTCCCATAGGAGTCTTCAGTAAAAACTAGTAACTAAATTGTGGACTCTCATACCAGAATTCTTTGGATGGCAAATTTATGAGTCAATTAAGCACAAAGCGTATTTTAAAAACGAGTCAAATATTCTTAGTTTCTCTGCAACAAGAAGTTAAAAATGCAACTTTTATGTTCAGTAATCAATACTTTAGCACTTTATCCTGTTTGGAAAAGACCTAGATTTCCAACGAATTCAATCCCAGTTTATCATCCAAGCAAAACCTGGAAGTTTCAGGTTATCAGAGACTTTGAAAGCTATCTTAACAATTATCCATGAAAACTTTGGGACAGAAAATTAACCATTATTTTAAGTCTTCTTTTTGCCAACAAATTGCAACAGAGATAACATGGGCTTATTTGTCCTTTGTTAAAACTTTATTACAAAAGATCTCTAGAATAGTTAGAGCATTTACCCAGACAGCATGACCTGAGGCTTATTTTTTGTTTCACCGTGTTTTCCAAGTAACTTAACATACCAAATAAAAGGCCTCCTTGATTAAAAAGATTTCATTTACAATTGAAATCTTGTAAAGTTTCTTAAAACCCTACAAAGTTTTAAAAGCACATGTCTAAGTTGGATTACAGATCTATAAAGACCTGATAAAGCTAAAACATAGAAACTGGTATTTCTGAGCAGACAGAGAAGACATCTGTTTATAAAGTGCAGACCAATAATTCAAGAAACTTTGTTTTTTGAATAGAGGGAAAAACAGAATTTTAATTTTATACTTTTAAAATCCATTCATTTCAATCTTAATCTGTCCTACCACACATAAATTCATTTCCAAGGATTTCCCTTCACAAACCATCCATCTACAAATTTACTTAGCATTCAGAGTTTGTCCCAAGCCATTTCTCCCCAAACAACTAGTCTCATCCAGGACAAAATTACCATCTTTTACCTTCAACAAAAATACATTCCCATTCCTTATGTCTATTTTATATATCCCCTACTTTTCTTTTTTTTTTTCTTTTTTTAATTTATTATGATAGTCACACACACAGAGAGAGAGAGAGAGAGAGGCAGAGACATAGGCAGAGGGAGAAGCAGGCTCCATCCACTGGGAGCCCGACGTGGGATTCGATCCCAGGTCTCCAGGATCGCGCCCTGGGCCAAAGGGAGGCGCTAAACTGCTGCGCCACCCAGGGATCCCCTATCCCCTACTTTCTACATACAGAATCATTTTCGTTATTTCTACCAATCTTAAGGTCTGTAATGTTTTGTGAGCTTTGGGTAAAATCTCTTTTGAAATTGCCAGAGAGGGACACCTGGGTGGCTTAGCAGTTGAGCATCTGCCTTTGGCTCAAGCGTGATCCTGGGATCTGGGATCGAGTCCTGAATCAGGCTCCCTGATGGAGCCTGCTTCTCCCTCTGTGTGTCTCTCATGAGTAAATAAACAAAATCTTAAGGAAAAAAAGAAACTGCCACAGAGTATAGCAATGTATTTAGATGTATTCCAATGTATTCCACCTTTTTCTTAAACTTCATTTAGCACAATATCTTGTATTTTGACATTTCTTCATGAGGAATTCTTTTCTCAAAGTTCTCAGAAAATCTTATATTCTGCCTGGTGATGCTGTAGGTGGCATCATCAGAGAGGCTGAGGCTCTCTGGGGCAAGCTTCTTTGCCATCATTGCTCCAGTCTATACTGGTCTCATCATCATCCTAGATGTTGCCATCCACGTGTCAGTGTCCCACTTTAGGCCCAGCAGAAGCAGTAGCTATGTGCACTTGTGTAGTGTTCCATCTTCCCTCTCCTCTTTCACTTAGACTTGGCCACCTCTGTGGCTGCTTTTTGTGCCATGTACTGGTGGGTGTGAACTTGGTCACGATGAACATAAGTCTGACATTGAAGGATGGCCATCCTAGATTATAAATCAGATATTTTCATTTCTAACTGTAGTTTTTCCTCCTGCACTGAGCACAGGGTTTTAGTATTATTCTCCTGTAGACTGTTAAACAGCATCCCCAGTGTGCTAGGAATGACATATCATGTTTCCCAGTTACCGTCCACAAAGCATCTGAGCTGGAGAGGCCTGGGTGGAATGTCCTCCTTTCGGGTGAAACTTTACCCCCTGACCGTCCCCACGAGGGCCGTATTTATGGGGCCAGTGATGGGGTCTGAGGTTAAACATATGTTCCTGCAGTATGGAATGAGTTGCATTTCCATGTTGTCATGTCTTCACGTCTTCAAGGAACCTGGATCATGTGTGCTTGCCTCCCTTCCCAGATTCCATTCTGGGGGGCCAGCCCAGCATGGAGCAGGAGGGAATGCAGGACAGATTTATAGTCCTGGGTGTCCAGACCAGAAGGGCCAGTTTTAACCGGGAATCCAGCTGATGTCCACTAAGCAGGCTCCCGAGGTCAGTCATGTAGCACAAGTCTCACAACCTGCTTTAGCCTGCCTGTATCCATGCAGGTGGGGCTGGTGGGTTATGCAGAACACATCACAGAAACCTCCATCCATAAAATACACAAAGGCAAAAATGTTTGTGAATGCAGGAGGTGAATATTCCATGTGCATATATGTAACCTGGTGAAGGTTTTAATTAGAGATGATGACTGAATGGTCAGCTTGAAATTCATATGTAGAGTGTTGAATGGATGAATGTTTGGGAGAAGTCCTATAACAGTCTGTCATCTCTTTCCCAACAGCAGAAATGTCACTCAGGAGAAGACCCCTTTGCACATATTGGGTATGATGGAGTTTTCACTCACCCCTACACATTGACTCAGCATGTTTTAACTCACACTGGACAGAGACCCTATAAATGGAGTGAATGTGGAAAACCTTTCAGTCATAGAAATGACCTATATAGACACCAGAAACCTTATATGGAAGGCAAACTTTATAAATGTAACGAATGTGAGAAATATTTCCATAATAGAAGAAAGCTTTGCATACACCAGAGAATTCACACGGGAGAGAAACCCTATAAATGTGATGAATGTGGAAAACACTTCAGTCGAAACTCCCACCTTCGTTCCCATAAAATAACTCACACAGGAGAGAATCCATTTGTCTGTAATCAGTGTGGGAGTCATTTCAGGTATTTTTCATCTTTAACTAGACATAAGCATATTCATTCTGGAGAGAAGCCTTATGAATGTCATCTGTGTGGAAAAGCCTTTGTTCAAAGCTCTTATCTTAAACAACACGAGAGAACTCACACTGGAGAGAAACCATATAAATGTCTCCTATGTGGAAAAGCCTTTGTTACAAGCTCCAATCTTCGAGAACATGAGAGAACCCATACGGGAGAGAAACCATATAAATGTCATCTATGTGGGAAAGCCTTTGTTCAAAGCTCTTGTTTTAGACAACATGAGAGAACCCACACTGGAGAGAAACCATATAAATGTCATCTGTGTGGGAAAGCCTTTATTACAAGCTCTTGTCTTAAAAAACACGAGAGAACCCACACTGGAGAGAAACCATATAAATGTCTCCTATGTGGAAAAGCCTTTGTTACAAGCTCCAATCTTAGAGAACACGAGAGAACCCACACTGGAGAGAAACCATATAAATGTCCTCTATGTGAAAAAGCTTTTGTTACAAGTTCTAATCTTCGAGAACATGAGAGAACTCACACTGGAGAGAAACCATATAAATGTCATCTATGTGGAAAAGCCTTTGTTACAAGCTCTTGTCTTCGAGAACATGAGAGAACTCACACTGGAGAGAAACCATATAAATGTCCTTTATGTGGAAAAGGCTTTGTTACAAGCTCTTGTCTTAGAAAACATGAGAGAACCCACACTGGAGAGAAACCATATAAATGTCCTCTATGTGGGAAAGCCTTTGTTACAAGTTCTAACCTTAGAGAACATGAGAGAACTCATACTGGAGAGAACCCATATAAATGTCCTCTATGTGGAAAAGCCTTTGTTGAGAGCCCTAATCTTAGAGAACTTGAGAGAACTCATGCTGGAGAGAACCCATATAAATGTCCTCTATGTGGAAAAGCTTTTGTTACAAGCTCTTGCCTTTGAAGACATGAAAGAACTCAACTCTAAATGCAGTAAATTAACACAGAAGAGCCTTCAGCCACAGCTCAAACCAATCCCAGAACTCCTAAATGGGGGAAATTCTATGGCCATATTCCTTATGGAAGTGCTTTCATTTCTAATTTATCATTACAGAACATGAGTGAACTTCATTTGGAGGAACCTTATATTTATAATAAAGGAGGAAGCGACATTAAATGATCTCCGGATGTAGGATGCAGAAGAATATTCACTATGAATAATCTAACCCCCCTAAAATGGGAAATTACACAATTACAGATGGAGGTCACTCTAGTAGAATAGCAAAAATTAATGCTGGAGAGCTTATTCATTGTAATATGCATGGAAAAAATCTTTATTAGTAGAAAAACTTGTAGGCATGTGAAGTTTCACACTCTGTAGAATAGAGAATGAATGGAAGTCTTCAGTGATTTTTAATTCTTTAGTCAACATGCAATTTTCTCACACTGTATATATGCCATTGCTAAAATCAGATGAAAGGTTAGAGTTTGCATCAGAAATTCCCAACTAGGAAAAACATATCAAGGATAAACAACATAAACAACAGCTTAGACATTATAGTTTTGCCTAATGGCTTATTATAAAAGTGTAAGAAACGTGGGATTATGACATCTGGGAATTTTAAATGCAGGATTTTGTGACAATAATGTTTTTTTTTTTTTAATTAGTACTTAGAAATGCATATGAAGCAAAGTTGTTGCTAGAAAATCCATTACATTGGTCAGGTCCTATTTTCCATACAGCAATAATTATGATTGGGTTCAACTAGAAATAACTTTGAATATTAACTGTAAAACAACACAGGATGATGTGTCATTACAACATATTGTTAACCCTGTATGTAGATCTTGATGAATTAAATATTGATACATGGATAGTTTGTGACTGATTTTTGCTTAAATTTTCATTTTAAAATGCTATTATTGGGATGAAGGGTATAACAGGACAATAAGGAGGGCCAGTTCAACAGCAGGACATAACATCTGTAAATATTTGCATCCAACATAGGAACACCAATATATAGTAGCACCTGGGTGACTTAGTGAGTTAAGCGTCTGGCTTTGGCTTTGGTCATGGTCTTGGGGTCCTGGGATCAAGCCCTGTATTAGGCTTCCTGCTCAGTGGGGAGCCTCCTCCCTCTCTCTCTGACCCTCCCGCACTCTTGCTCTCGCTTTTTCTCAAAATCTTTTAAATATATAAAAAAGGAACACCTCTATATATGAAATATATAAACAGCTAAAGAGAGAAACAGCAATACAGTGATAGAAGGGGGACTTTATTATTTATTTTTTTAGAAGGGGGACTTTAATACACATTTTCATCAGTGGATAAATCATTTAGGCAGAAAATCTGTAAGAAAACAGACTTCAGTGACACATTAGATCAGATGGACTTCACAGATGGATCCTCAAGACTCCCAACAGCAGCGGAATGCATCCTTTTGTCAGGTGCACATGAGACATTCTCCAGGATTGAGCATATATTAGGACCTGTCAGGACCATTGGACAGTTGCTTTCTCTCTTAACCAAGCCACGTAGCTGCCCTCCTATTTCTCATAAAAATCCATGGCTTTCACTCTTTAGGTGGCACACTTCTGGTTATTGCTGGAGTCTGTGCTCCCCAAACTGTAATTCATTAATCCCAAATAAATGTGCATCTGTCTGCCTCTCATTGCAGTGCTTGTTTTCAGGGTGGCAGAGTGGACAAGAATATTTGCCTTCCTCTCTTGGCCAGGCACTACATACAGTGTGAGTTCTGGAGGAGCTGACCTGGGTGCTGGAATCTCCAGCAGTTTCAGGGACTTGTTTGTAGCTCCAGAGAGTCTGCTCATGCTGTGCCTGCCACAGAAGGCCCATCAACATACCACCCACGAAACTTGTGGAGATCATCTCTCTACCCTTCTAGATTCTTGGCTCTGACCACCACCCCTCCTTCCCCCGCCCATGGGGTCAAGGCTACAGAGGGACAAAATGATGATCAGGGATTTGAGGAGAGGATCCCCGGACAATAACAGCTGAAAGGGGGCTCTAGGGACCAAGTGCAGACCTCATGGGTACTGGGACCTGATGGTTGGGGGGAGGAAGGATATCAGGAACCACTGCCCTGCAGAGAACAGGTGCTGGTGTTGAGTTCAGAGGAGGGTGGAGGGGTGGGGATTGGTGAAGGAAGGCTGATGTTTGTTCCCAGCAGGACCAGTTGAGGAAATGAAGGTGAGAGCATGGAAATAAAGAGGCCAAGAGAAAAGGGCCAAGGCAGGGTGAGGCAAGTAAACCAGGAAGAGCACACTTCCAGGAAACCTCAACAGTAGGATTCTGAGAGGCAGAAAAGTCACCAGATCCACCTCCTTGGGTGCCAGGTTGGGGAGGAGTGATGTGAGCAGAAAGGAGAGGACTTCCCTAGATGAGAGTTTAGGCCAGAGGCTGTTGCTTTGTGAAGAGGCAACAAGGACTTTGGGGTCCATTATAATAAAATTGAGCAGCAACAAGACCCATGATCTCACATTTCTGAGGTGCTAGCGCCCAGTAGAGGAGAAAGTGGCCCAGGTCCATAGAAGCTCAAACAACTAAATTACAGTCATCTTCAGATTTTACACCTTTATGCTTTTGTAAATGCTTATATTTTAATTACATTGACTAATTGCTAACAAGTATAATTGAGTTACATAACCTTGTATTCTCTGAATGCAATACATTTAATAGCTATTTATCAGCTTTTTTTTTCTGTTTATTTTTTAAAGATTTCATTCATGAGAGAGGCAGAGAGACCCAAGCAGAAAAAAGCAGGTTCCTTGCAGGGAGCCTGATGTGGGACTTGATCCCAGGACCCTGGGATCACAACCTGAGCCACCCAGACATCCCTCTAAGCATCCCTCTATATTTGTTTAAATATAGTTGGGCTTTCTGCGTACATAGTCACTTCATTTACAAACAGTCATATCTCCCAATTTTTCTAATCTTTTTATCTTTTAGAGTCATTGCAGAGTGTAGCTACTCCACTATATGTTAGTAGACACAGAGCAGACCATTCCAAATGGCAAGAAGGGTCCTAGGGAGAGTAGACACCTGATCAAACTTGGAAAGCTGTTTTTGTTTTGTTTTTTAAGATTTTATTTATTCATGAGAGAGAGAAAGAGCAAGGGAGGCAGAGACACGGGCAGAGGGAGAAGCAGGCTCCCTGCATGGGAGCCTGACGTGGGACTCGATCCCAGGCCTCCAGGATCACACCCTGAGCTGCAGGCGGTGCTAAACCGCTGTGCCACCGGGTCTGCCTGGAAAATTGTTTTTCAATAGGATCTATGATGTACATGGAACATTTTCTCATGTATTTCCTAAATGACAATTTTCTAAAATTCATGTTAGGAGTTGTTGGTCAGGTCTCAGGCTGGCAGTGACGACGGGTCTTTTAAATTTTGGGAGATTATTACTTTTTTTTATTTTTTTTTTTTTAAGATTTTACTGATTTTAGAGAGAGATCATGTGAGCAGGGGGAGGGGCAGGGAGAGGCACAGGCGGACTGACCACTGAGTGCAGAATCCGATGCAGGGGCTGAGTCCCACGACCCTGAGATGATGACCTGAGCCAAAACCAAGAACCAGACATTTAACTGATAGTGGCACCCACACACTCCTATAGCAAATTTTGATTCCTGCAGGGATTTTTCCTGGTGCTTTCTATGAGCAGTGACTGTTGAGTGTACGGCACTCTCCCATCGGCGGAATGTGGTGTTCACTGGGGTAAACAATTGATCCTATTGAAAAACAATTTTCCAGGCAGACCCGGTAAACGGTGCTCCTGAAACCAAACCACGTAAGGACTTTTGTTTTTATCCCTTACCTGTTTGGTGACTGACCTTGAGGGACACCCATTGCTGATCCCTTAGAGGCATTCAAACTGTCCCCATGATCATTTACCTTAGAAGACATAACCCCCAAACTTACAGGATTTCCACTGCATATTTCAGTATCTCAACCCCCCAGTGTTCTCTCCAAACTGGTGCCCACAGCTCCCACCTCTCTGGGTTGTTTAGACCCTGGATCATAGTTTCTCGCTGGTCAGGATCTGGCCTTCCCTTCTCCAGAGTCCCTGCAAGTCTCAAAGGGCTGACTCCACCACGTTAGCTTCACTTTTCCTAGGCTCCCCAGCGGGAGTGCTCTGTGGATCTTGACTGCAGTGGTGCAGTGGTGCCAGGGATGACTTGCTTTTCACCTGCTGCACCCTCTGAAACATGTCATCACACACACTCATCCACAGCAAACACGGCACACTGAACATGCATTCTCTCGGGTGACATACAAGTTCTGATGATCACACGTTGACCTTCTGCCCTGACCATATAATGGCCAACACCCTCAAAGTCAGAAAAACCAGGGAAGGGTGACTGGGTGATGGGCACTGAGGGGGGCACTTGATGGGATGAGCACTGGGTGTTAGACTATATGTTGGCAAATCAAACTCCAATAAAAAAAATCATAGAAAAGAACCCAGAAAAACCAGGGAAACAACTATGCAGATCATATTACTGTATACTCTGCAGCCGCACAGAATTGGTGATGCAGACATGTGGTATAGAGGGACTCTGGCTGTGCATCTGTGTTTGGATCATGAGGCATTTCCCAGTTTGACATCAACATGAAAACTCCATGCATGGAGGGGAGAGGCTTGTGGCACAGGGATAGGATGTGCGTGGACCTCCCATCAGTGCTTGGCAGTGCTTATTCTTGGCAGATGGTGTAGGATACAGGGAGCTAAGGATCTGCACACTAGGTGTTTGATACAAACAGATCAGCAAAAAGATTCATAGAAAAAATCCAGAAAATGTAACCAGGGTCCCCTGAGAATGCACTAAGGATTCAGTATGACTCCAAATTGTCAGGAGGATTTGTCCTCAGAGCAGTCCTGTTTCTCTTAAAACTTAGATATAAATGTTTCATACATAAAAATATTAAAGCATTCGTTGCTTGAAGATATGTGAAGTAAAAGAATTGAAGTTCCTGCCATGAGTGAGTAGATTTTGTTGATCCAACCCATAAAAAGCAACAGCAAAACCTGGTTAAGTACACAAATCTTTGAAGTAAAAGATGTCTTTGAAGACATCAGTATGTAGGCTATTTAAATATATATATATATATATATATATATTTATTTATATATAAATATAAATAAATATATATAAAGATTTTATTTATTCATGAGCAACCCAAAGAGCAGAACCAGCGGCAGAGACATAGGCAGAGGGAGAAGCAGGCTCCCTGCGGGGAGCTCAATGCAAGGGGGGGGGGACTTGATCCCAGGAGCTCAGGATCACACCCTGAGCTGAAGGCAGATGCTCAATTACTGAGCACTCAGGCGTCCCTGTAGGCTGTTTAAACGGGAATTTTTAAGGCACAATGGATGGGTCTAGGGGAGTCCACGGGAAGATGATTGCCTCATCCACACTAGATTTTCTCCTGGGGCAATTGAACATTAGCAGGGAGGGAGATTGAGACCCAGAAGAAAAGTGAAGCCTTTCTGGGCTTAGGAGAAATAAGATGGAACTTTGTGCAAGCAAAATATCGGGGCTTTGCTTCCTGGTAAGTCATGGTGAGTAGAGGTGAGATAATAGTAGGAAATAAATTCACTTCAAAGGTGTATTTGTGAAAGTTTAGGGGGTTGCGGGACCAGAAGGGAATATAAGCACTAGGATTCCACATGGGTAAAAGCCCTTACTGTGAACGGTGAGGTCCCCAGGCATTTCCACACCTGAAGCACCTGTTTAGTGTGGACACTGATGATCTTGGAGAGAGACATCACTAGGGAGTAAAAACAAGTTGATGGGGTGTTGGCCAACAGAATTCCCAAACTTGGCTGTTTTTTTTTTTTACAGGCAAGAAAGCTGTT